CAACAACACGGTAAAATCTTATTATTATTCTAGAGATGCTGTTGATTTCTAATGTCGATCGTCGATGACAATGATGGTCATCAGCAGCAATAGCTCGTGGTGCTTGTCAACGGCATTGGCTAGAAAATGCAAAGAAAGTTCTCTCTATATGTCTCTTTCTCCTCCTTCCTCCCCCTCATGTGAAGAATGAATGTCTATTTATAACTTTTTGAGAGTTGAATGCTCCATAAATATAGAAAAAATCTAGGGCAAAGTTGGAGTGCTCCATCAAACAACTAATATTGTATCTTTCAATTATAGAGCTTTGTCAAACATTTAAATTCTTTGATGATGTCAAAATTAAGTGATTTTGGACTCGTTGAATTTTTCTCGTCTATCCGCTCGATTTAACTACAAGCATGTCATATTTAAAGATTATTTGGTTACTCAATTATTGCTTTGAAGCTTTTAAATATACTTCAGTCACTCTATTCGAGCGCATTTGGCCTTGAATTGGACCGATCTAGTGTCATTGGGTTCATCTTATCAAGATGTTCAGTTTGACTATAAATTTGTTGAGATCGGAGTTCAAATTGTCCTAAATTTAATTCTAAAAAATTTCAATTCAAATATACCTCTAGATTAGTACTTGATATGATGATTTTTTATGACATACCAATGACATACATGAAAAAAAAACCATTTTGTCTCCGATATTTTAGACAAATTCAATCCTATCAGATATAATGATAAAATAATAAAAAAATCGAATAAAATTAGTAGAATAATTAAATAACGTGGCAGTTTAGCATCCGTCCAAAATAAATGATCGGCAGGGGGAATCAGAACCGTCCATGATGACCATAGATATATATCAAGAAATTATCAATCATTCAAAGGTCTGCATCCTGCCAACGTAAGAAAGCGACGCACAGATATAGCCCACCTCATGGTGGGTTAGGTGTCAATTAATATTTGGAGGAAAATAAGATCTTCTAATTAAATTTTATTCATAATAAAATTCTTATTATTTTATAATAAGTATAATGCATATATTATTATAAATTTAAAAATTTTAAAACTTATCTGAATATATATTTTATTAATTAGCTTTTTATTAAAATTGTTTAAATTGATAATTTTTTAAATTATACATTATTCTATTTTAATTTTTATCAGCTCATCAAAATTTATGCGTTCCTGAAATCATGGAGAAATTAATAGCAAGAATTTTTTTAATACTTTTTTAAATTTATTAAAAAATAAAAAATTATGAACGGAAAATTATTTAATAAATTTGATGTTTCAGTTTTAGAAAATTGTCAGCAAACGAATGCTCTGATGTCATAGAGTAGATTATCTGAGCATTGTTTGGCTTAGCCTTTCAACATATTGATGCTTTCCCTTGTTTTTGTCTTAAGCAATATGTGTAACTATTTATGTGGTTGCTTTATCTATCTTGGCCCATATGTGTAAGATTTTTTTTAGGACATTTAGGACCATTACGATAAATACATACATCACATATGCAAGCTTCAAATTCAGAATCTCTTAATTGATAGTCAAAGTTTTCAACCAATAGATCAAGATTGCATGTATGTGCATAAATATTATATATTTATTTTTTAAATTTAATGATCTATGCCTCTCAATGCTCAATATTCAATTTTTATATCAATTGTCTACTAAAATCTTTTCTAAAATTGAAGTCAGACAAGGAAGGCGAAGGGACTGTGGTTGGACAATGGTGGTTGCAGGATTTGAGTAGGGTGACGATGACTATAGAACTGAAGTCAGATGATATAGGTTGGGTGTACATGGTTGGGCATGGTGGTTGGAGGATTGTAGTCGAGCGATGATGGTCGTAGGATCAAAGTAGGGTGATTATTCTTGGGCAAATTAGTGGGCAATGATGGTAGGGAGGCCGTCATAAACTGATGGTTGTCAAAGGATTGTAATCAACGATGTTGGTCAGAGGATCGTGGTTGAGAGATGGAGATTTGAGAATCCTGATAAATGGACGATGGTTGGAGAGCCGTGTTGGGAGATGGTGTTCGAATGACTATAATCATGTAAAAATAGTCCAACGTCGATAGTCATGATGGTATGATGACAATAATTAATCTTTGGTTTGATGATGATGGTAGATAGGTGATTTGATGATGGCAAAAGATATTAAATGGATAATATTTGGGTAAAAAATAATTTTGTGGTTCAACCCGAATACTTGTTTTGTAAAAAGGTTAGGAAATGCAATCTAAATTTCTACCTAAATTTTTGATTGGTTCAAACAATTCTTTTTCTTACATCACTATATTGAAAATCATTAAATTTACTTTGAGATTAACTTAATACAAATTCTTCATTTATGTCACTAATCTCAAATCAAATATATTTTTTTCTCAACTTAACAATAAATTTATTTTTTAATCATGAAAATTGCATAAAATTTGCTTTATGATCCTATGTATTTAGTTTTATGTCATACATACATTTTTTTTTAGCCTCCCAATAACATATTTTTACTCTTTTAGTTACTTAGTGATGATATCAATTGTAAATAAAATATTTGAATGATAATACCGTCATATATCATGTAAGCATTACGTACACCTCAAACATAGAAAAAACAATATTACCTAAATACCATAATTTTGTATTTATTTGAATTTTAATTTATTTTAATAATATTTATTATATATATATATTAAATATTTTAAAATATAGATAATTCGTATAGAAAATTAGTTAGGGAGAGGTTTTACGGTAAATGATTTTTTATTTTTCGAAATTATTTTTTGTTATTGGGACAAATTTAGTAAATAATATTTATAGTACGACAGTGGCCAGTCTTATTTTTCTCTGAAAAAGACATTGTATTCATCCATGGAAGAATCCATATTAAGAAAACTGGATTTGTCATCATGCACATTGGATGCGCATTGGATGCCCCCATCATGTCTACAATCAGTAGGGCATAACATACATCATTACATCCCACATGAATGAATCATCATTTAATGACACAATTATTTCCCAATTGACCCGAAAAACCATCAGCATGTAAGTATATGCGATTTGCATTATTTTTATTTTTTGAAATAAGAGGGGTGAGGTTAGTTAGTCTTAAACATAATTTTAGTATAAAAATTCAGATTTCATTTGAGACGATTTTTTTTATTGTTTTTTAAAGCAGATTTTTTGTGCAAAAATTAAAATTTTTTTACTCGAAAATTATTTTAAGAAACAATAAAAAAATTGTCCCAAATAAAACATAAAACTCTGATTTAAAAAGCAATAAAAAAGTTATGAAAATTTATTGACAGCTTAAAATATCAATTGATTTTCTGATATTATGTGCTTGCAGTTAGACGAGGGTTTTAATGAGAAAAATCAGATGAGCTAAAAATGGGTTAATTATGATGTCATTAATGTAATAATATTCTAGCTAATATTTTATGATGGCCGAAAATAATTTTAGTAACTGTCCTTATAGAAAATTACGTAAATTAATAACCCGTAAATTATATATAATTACTCTGAAAATATTAAGAGAAAAAAAAAAATAGAGAGACAAAATTTTCTTTGATAAAAGTTTGAAATTTTTATAAAATATATATGGTTGTTGCGTCCTGAAGTATTCGTGGCGGTAGAGAAATATATAGTTTAACATCTTAACGTTGTACAAAGATCCAGCACACAATCAGATAAGAGGGAGAGAGAGTGTTGCATTCATAAGAGACATTAGAATTTTTACGTGGAAACCCCTGAAAAGGGGAAAAAATCACGGGGTCTGGCCCAGTTTGAATTAATCTACTAGTATTTGCAGTTGATTACAAATGAGGCTCTTACTTGGGAGAAGGCATTGGCTTGATGGTACAAATGTACATCATATAGAGCGCATTACATGGTGGGAGTTACAATATAGACATGTTTGTACGACCATAGTCTATAGGATAGAGGTCGGAAAGACCGTCACTTGGTGATGGAGGTCGGAAAGACCATAGTAGGTGATGGAGATTGGAAGGAGTGTAGACGGCAGGAGACAGAGGTCTGAAAGACCGTAGTTGGCAGAAGACTGGGGTCAAAAAGACTGTTTTCAGGTGATGGAGATCGGAAAGACCATTGTAGGTGATGGAGGTAGGAAGGACCGTAGTCGGTAGGAGACAGGGGCTCAAAAGACCATAGTTGACAGGAGACTGGGATCAGAAAGATTATTGTCATGTGATGGAGATCGAAAGGACCATAGTAGTCGATGGAGGTCGGAAGGATCGAAGTCGGTAGGAGACAGGGGTCCGAAAAATCGTAGTTGGCAGGAGACCGGAATCTAAAAGCTCGTAATTATAGGGTGGTATTCCGGTAGAACTCCAAGCATCAGGCGGTGGTCAGGTAGACGTTCAGGCCTCAGGTGGTGGTCCGGTAGAAGTCCAGGCCTCAAGTGGTGGTCCGGCAGAAGTTTATGCCTCAGGTGGTGGTCCGGCAGAAGTCCGAGCGTCACATGATGGTCTGGGACAAGTCCTGGCATCGGATGGTGGTCCGGCAGAAGTCCAGTCCTCAGGTGGTGGTCCGGCAGATGTCGGGGCGTCACATGGTGGTCTGGGAGAAGTTTGGGCTTCAAATGATGGTCCGGCAGAAGTCCAGGCCTAGGGTGGTGGTACGACAGAAGTCTGGGCGTCACGTGGTGGTATGGGAGAAGTCTGATTCTCAGATGGTGGTCCGACAGAAGTCCATGCCTTAGGTGGTTGTCCGGAAGAAGTCCGGGCGTCACATGGTGGTCTGGGAGAATTTTGGGCCTCAGATGGTGGTCCGACAGACATTCTGATCGAACT